TCCGGACTTATAATTAGTACTAGTTATACTTTATACTCTAGAAACTACTTAGACTTTATAACTTCGATAGTACTTATATAGTATATTACTAGTTATATATTAACTATAGTAAGACTTCTAGAACTAGACTCTTCTACTACTCGAGTATATAGTAGTATAACTATTTTATTTATACTAAACTAATATAGCGAAAGAATAACTATAATAAAGAAAGAATCTAATATTACTACTATATATTTTAGATATTTCTAGCCTCTACTAGATACTATAGTACTATAACTAAGTTAGTATATATATACGTCTATACTATAGCCGTTCGGAAATTAAGAAGTATAGACCTCGATATAGGCTAGGAGCATTTCGAGCTCTTATCTAGCTTACGTCCTTTTAGCTCCCTACCGAATATAATAGAAAGTAGACCTTCTCGCCCTATAGTACGAGTTCTCGAGGCGCCTAACCGTAGGATTATTATAAGAGTTACGCGCAGGATAGCTAGGCCCGGTACGAATAATTAAGGTCGAAAGCTACGAATATTAAGCAGTTAGTATAGTTTTATAAAGTGCTACGTGCGCCTCCAAAACAGCAGCTGCGGCGGCACACTGTCTCGTAACAAGATTCGGTAGACTTAGTAAACAAAGCTCTAAGCGCAGACGACACGGAGGACGACGTTTCGAGGGTTAACCCACTTTCGTTACGCGACGTCTGTCAGCCTTGCTTCGACGCACCAACACACAACATCGCCCTTGTGCGCCGATACAACCACCTAGCGGATGACCCCTGCGATCCATTGATTTGTCGGTGTTCGCATCTTCGCTCATCTCGCCTATTCCTGGTCTCTTGAACCGAGACGATGCTCCTAAGGTCATGAGAACGAAGTCAACACGACGAAGACTTATCAATAGCGCTGTGTTCGCTCTCAAGACCGGCAAGATTGTCTTCAATGTTCCACCGCATTCGCATTTTTGCCTCCTCCGACAAGCACCCATCGATGGCTCGAAGCAGTAGCTGCGGCCAGCTTCCGACCCACCAGCGATCGCGGCATATTGCCAGCACATGGCTGTACTGCGCCAGCACGTCGAGCGAATCCGGAGTCCGTTGCTTTAGCTCCTCCACGAACTCATCCGAGCACAAAGATGGCCAGCTAGACAACAGTCTGAGGTCGACACCCGATTTGTAAGCCCATGACTGGCTGAGCATCAGGCCTTCCAGCGACGCCCGGATGACGGGACGATCTTGACGAGCCATGCAGCCATTCATGCTGCCCTCTGCTGTTGTGGAGAATCGATGCGTAGCTCGCGAATCTTCTGCGAATATGACGCCTTGCGTGGATTGTTCACGCCATGGATCGCGGGATGATTGATACAGCTCATATCCTCCACGACAGAGTTGAAAGACCATGAGCACATCCTCAATCGAAACACTGCTTTCCTCGTCGGTGAGTGGTATAGCGAATGCCGAAATGATCAACATGCAGTTGAATCGCAGCAAGCACGGCATTTGCTCCTGATTCACCTCGAGCTTACTATCCAAAGCTCTGTGGAACTGCCTGAGTCCTTTATGCCGATGGACCAACGCGCGAACTCGATACTTGTTGCTGAGCTTCCGTCCAGCACTCCCAACAGGGTTTGCCCCAGGCGTCATGTACTTGATGGCCAAATGCATGCCAGCCAGCGCCAGGATCCCGTGGAACAAGAGAGGATAGGCGTGTGCTTGCCTTGGCACGATGTCCTGCCAGACAGTATAGGCTTGCTTGGGTCCCACCAAGTCCAAAGATATACACGTAATGTAATGGTGCAACAGGAGCAGATCCAGTGAGTCGAAAGAGCCAGCGGCTGGGAGATCCGCGAGCTCGTTCATCTGTATCCAAGCCGAGTCGTTGCCTGCGGAGGGCTGATAACTGCATTCCTTACCACATTGCCTGCATCGTTCGCAAACAGGTCTGGTCTCGTCGCACTACCGTCATCGCTTAGCTTGGCCTTCCGAAGCGTACATCACTGACTTCCTTACCTTTACCTTTCGAGCTTTGCATCTCTCGCAACCTGTTCGGCTCTTTGACTGATGTCGTCCTGTGCCCATCATGTGGACCAAAATGTGCATCAGGACTCAGTTCCGGCATTCTTTGACTGTTATATGCCGCTGCTCGAGATACCCTGACTTGCTAACAGAGTCCATAGTGGCTCGTCACGCGGAGCGAGCTCTAGACTCATTCCTGGCTTACCGAGTGGGCTTGGCAAGTCCATTCGTCCCTAGCTGCTACAACATTCCTCACGCAGGCTGCTTCAGTCCGCCTCGTGGTTATGAGCCTCGCAGGGATAATACGACGTCCGAGCAGAGCCGCTTGACCCGACATCCTAGCGACGAACTTTGCTCTGCCGACCATTCGCTTCGATGCTTGGTGCATTGTCAAGCTGCATGCATATGGTCCTTTCGACTGCCTTATGATCGGATAGGCCCTTGAGACGTACCCGCATAATCATACCATTGTTCTGTCATGAGCATCGAGCCAGCATGGAGTCGACGAGAGTATTGAAGATGCAAGCCGGTGGTCGGTGTCCTAGCGATCCAGTGTGAGCTGTGAGTATGGGAAGAGTAGAGACGGTTCAAAATGAATAGATCGACTAATCGAGCGTCCTTTGTGTTTCACCAGAGCAAAGTTCAGACAATGTCTCTACTGGCAGCCTCTTCTAGAGCAATCTAACGCTGATCGACGATTTGGTATCACCCAACGGCGTAGGGCCATCTAGATTTTCGTCCACATGGACGGAATCGAAGACGGGCATGCTGGGTCATATTGCACAGGAGCGTGCAGGCATCGCAACAGAGAGCCAGACGCTGATGCTTGTCGACATTCCACTGTTCTGGCAACGAGCACAACTCTCTTAGGAACGGTGCATTATGCCCGTTGTCTGAAGCTAGCGTGCAGAAATCTGCCCGGGAGACTGAATATGGTTCAACTGAGTTTCGGCATGCTTGCCCCCGGGCTTCCAGGATGTGAACGTGGGCTGCAGCGTCGGCAGTCCACTGAGACTTAGACCACTGCGCCTCCTGAGAGATCAGTGGAGCTCAAGTCACCGTTGCTTTGACGAATGTTGTTCGTGTGGTGCAGCTTCGAGAGATCAGATGTAGCTTGTAATGAATGAAGAGCAAGGTAAATCAGAAGTGAAAGCAGTTCCCTCGGCTGGCCGGCCGGCACGAATGAAGTTTTGGTCGACTTCGGCGTTTGTCGCGTCCTCAACATCTGCATTCGGTGCTTTGATCATGGTGTCAAAGCCCAGTTTCAAGGGTATGCTTGTGCTAAAATGTTGAGCATGACCTCAGCAACCATGATGCTTATCAAGACTTCCCTGGCAGATTTCTTCACAGAACGTGGGGGCATCATTCGCAAGAAAGTTGGCAGGGTAGCACTCGACAGAGATGGTGTTGGCCCAAGAAGCTTAACGCACCTCATGGGACCTGGGCTCGAGACATCGATCGAAGGTCGGCAGGCGGGCTTAACACGTGTCGTATGTATGCGAGCGTCCCAACATGAAAACTAACCTGCTATCCAGAGGCCTTGTGCACTTGCCGCTCGTATAAACCGGACGACAGCGGTTGCCTAAGCAGTCAGTTAGTGGCGAAAGTTTAAGTAAAGCTCAAGGGATCAATGGTGTCGCTCGTAGCTCCGGGCATAAGGAATACCCTATCGAGAGTCCCAAGCAACAGACAATTGCTCCTGTCGCCGAAATAGGTCGTCCGACGTCTGGCCAAGTATTGCTCGATGCTTGTGTCACGCGAGGTCTCGCGGTGACCCAACGCTCTCACCGGCAAGACAGAGTTGCTACCCCACATGCCACTTCGCCATCCCGCTCCCGACCTCACACTCAACTCCCAATTTCGCTGCAAGGCTACAGGATACCACAATCTCGACGAAATGAGCGCCTCCGACGCTGCTCAATGCCATGCGCTTCGCAAAAGCCTTCTGAACCTCCCACAAGAACTCCACGATCGAATATACGATCTGACCTTCACCACCGCTCCCAAGATCCGCATCTACAAACCTGGACACGGCGACCTGGTTCGCCAGGTCCTTGCCGAGCTGCACGAGAAGTCTCCCTCGAACATCGTGGTGTTTGACGAGCGACTGCCCCATCTGCTCCACGTGTCGCGAGCGAGCCGCGAGCTCTTTGCGAAGTCGTATTTCGGCGGCGACGGCGCAGTTTTCGTCTTCTATGCGCCCGTCAAAATCTGGAGAGTACCTATCGAGAAATGTCATTGGGAGCTCATCAAGGATGCTCGAGTTGCGTTCACGAATTCTCACTATTTGGTGAACTGGGAGAGCAGACAGTTCAAGAACGAGAGAGCGTTCAATTATCCAGGCAAAGACGTAGTGGACAGGATACCAATCCAGTGGCATCATCACATCGAGCGATTGATCAAGCGGAGGATGGAAGCCGCCGGACTTGAGCAGTTGAGACCTTCAGATTAGCTCGTCAACCGGTTCTGAACATAGTGAAGAAAAGCACTTCCTCACTCGGGATGAATCGCTTCATCCGGTATCAGCGCATGTCCCACGCAGACGGGGTTTCGGGCTTTCTCAAAAGTCCCGCGACAAAGTAAAACGATCCTAGCTGCCAGTCACAAGCCTGGCGTTCTTGTAGACGATGCTGATTCTGGAGCATACTTCAGAACTCGCGGGCATCTTCATTTGCAGCCATGTCTGTCTCGATGGCAGATGACAAGGCTGTCATTAATTATAGCAGACGGCCTGCTCCTGTCAAGACAGAAAGCGGCGTAGCTTGCACCAACAGACCAACAGAATCGTAACAAAAGCCGACATCCAGAACTTACACAGCACTAGAAATCGAGGTCCAAAGTGCATCTTTTCCCAGAGATCACTACTCGCCCTAGCCATGTCGGAAGTGGTAGGAGGTTTGGGCTTGTCAAACCCTCAAAGACAAGTGGGCACTCTGTTGCGCGCGGGATTGAGCCTCAACAACAAGACCTGAAACATATTGCGACAACATTTCTGCGCGAGGGACAAGGCTCTCGGTGGCCGGGAATATACTGTCCCCCGCCGCTGGATACACGAGACCCTTCACACGTTCTAATCTTGGAAGACGAACTATGTTGGCAGCATGGAGCAGAAATGGCCGCAGCGTGGGTATAGCGGTCTCGCCTAAACGAGTAGTCTGGAGAATCCTGTGCAGAGGGAGATGTTATATAGTCCTCGGGTATGCTCTCCGGGACCGCTCACTCATCAGAACTCGCCGGTTTCTCCAGAATATCTGCTACACTAAATTCACGACGAGCAGAGATGTCTTCGATCAAATCAACTCTACTGCTTGTTGGCATCAGTGCCGCAAGACTTGCCCGCGCGCAGGACGCCTCCTACTTCGACGGAGGCTGTTCGTTCTTTCCTGAGAAATGCCAGCCATGCTTTGGCATCAACGAGGTGCGTCGCCAAAAACGTCCACACTTGATGCTTTCGCTGACGACGAGATGTGGTTTCCAGTTCAACTTTCTGACGTGGGGCTGGTGTCACACCAAGACAGCGGAGCAAGGAGGCGGATGGCAATGCAGAGGCGCCGAAGGTTGCACCAATCCGAGTCCGCCACCAATAGACCATGACCCGGGAACTTGCGATCGATCACCCTATATCTGCAAGCGGTGCTACACTACGGTGAGCGATCAGTTCGTCCTAAGTGGACACCGCCGTTGGTCGAAAGAGATGCTGATGATATGGCCACAGTATGCCGTTACATTTGGAAACCCGGACGGATGGTGCCATACGTCGAACGGCCAGACTATCAATGGGTTCGAGTGTCGTGGCGCGGAAGGCTGCACGAACTGAATGGACAGAGCTCCATACATCGGCTTGGAGCAGCAATACTGCCGGGGTTGTGAAGCGTCCCATAGAATGCTTTCGACTCAGGACTCGCCGTCTACTCACGTTAGCCCATACATTTCTGCAAAATCGACCAAGATTGCGCTGCGAATTCCCGAGCTAGGACAATTTCATTGCAACGAATTTGCGGCGTCGCAGATGAGGCACATGGCACGCTATACCATTGCGCGATCGCTCCCTCTCCCGGTACCACGTCAGAGACTCAAGTGTTCGTGATCGTTCCGCAAATATCTTGCTTCAGGCGTTAGAATGGTAAGCCATGTCACCAGGGGCGAGAGACCGAAAGCACAATTTGAGCGTTGAATGATATGAGCGAGCGGCCCCAGCCTAGAAATATAGCTTCTCTCGAGGAGGAAGCGAGGAATGCAAACGAAGAGGACACTTGTCTAGCTCGAGACGTTTCCCGCTTGGCACTGTACGTAGCCTTCTCGCTCGGCTGCGCGTATGAGCTCTTCCCTTTCCTCTAGACTCAGCTCACTCGTCGCTCTTGGGACGTCGCCATATAATGCCATGACCAACAGACTTATGGCCGCTGCACCCACGCCGAACCAAAATGTGTTCTTGTAACTTTGTCGAAGCCCATCTTTGTCCACTGTCGCCGATTGTAAGATGTCAGTCAATCCAAGTGTCAGTGCAACACCAAGTTGGAGTACGGAGTTCAAGATGCCGCCAGCAAGACCCTGCTGCGCCAAAGGCAACTTGGTCGTGATGAACACAGTCAGCAGGATCGTAGAGAGGTCGATGCCGATAGTACTGAGGATGGTGGCTGGGAAGATCCAGGCCCAGTAGCTCCAGCCCTCGACCTGCAGCAAAGCAAGTAGTAGCTGCGGACCAACTGATCCGATGCCCGGGATGATGAGCAGCACGCGTCCAGGTACCAAGTGCAGTATCATGCCCTCCATGATGCTGAAAAGTAGCCCCGCGACTCCAAGAGGTACATACCACAGCGCAATCTGAAGTGGCTGGGTGTTCAGAATGTTTTGAAAATAGAGCGTCCCGTAGACGGAAAATATGCCCCAGCACCCGTAGAGAATGAGGACAGCAAAAAGCAGAGGGGTCAGAGACGGTACCAAGAGAACGTCCTTTGGTAGAAGTGGCTCGGATGCAAATCGTGCCTCGAAGACTGCAGCACAGAAGAGCAGGACGATTCCCAAGCAAAAGCATACGGGGATGTATGGGGTCCGCCAACCCGCAGGAGCATGGGCAGATTGCGTAATCGCGAACACGGTGAGGATCAAGCCCGCAACTATGAGCAGTCCACCTGTGTAGTCCATACTGACCTTCTCCGAGTCGTGATCGGCGACATTCGCCCGTGGGAGTGACCAAATCGCATTAAGCAAGGTCACTCCGGAAAGTATTGCTCCAATCCAGAAGTAGAAGCCCCAACGCAGGAATTGCCCAACAACACCAGCGAGTACGATGCCGCCAAAGAACCCAAGGACAGCAGAAGTCCCGTAGATGGAGAACACCAGGTTCTTGCGAGGACCGGGACGATAGATTGAGCCCATCAGCAGAATTCCGCTCGGGAGAGTGGCAGCGGCACCGAGACCTTGAAGTGCCCTGCAGAAGTCCAGCATCAGAGCATTAACGCTAAAGCCTGCGATAATGCTCCATGCCAGCAGCCATATGAGTCCCAGGAGAAAGACCAATCGTCCTCCGAACATGTCTGCCGTCCTGCCAAGGACCAAAAGGAAACTCGCAATGACGAGTGAGAATGCAGTAGCTGGCCATATTGCTGCTGCCTGTGGTATGTCCAACTCTTCGATCAAGGTAGGGAGGATGAGCGTGAAGTCAGAGACGAAATACTCGGTGAGGAATTGCGACATGGATATGCAGAAGACAAACATGGCTTCGTGTAATGTGGTCTGGAAAATGGCGGGACGCTCGCGACCGAGTTCTTCGATGCGTCGCAGTAGGGCATCTTGGTCCGAATCTCCCAGCGACACGTCGTTGCAATCATGTCTTGCTCCAGACTCGATATCGTGTTGCGCCGTCCTCGAGTGCGGCAACGTAGCACCCTCCCTAGATGCCTGGCTGCTTCGATACCATCCCATCTTCCTCCGGGGGCGATTGCGATTGGAAAGGCGTGACTGGAAATTTGCACATGGCTCGAAGAGACGACATTTTATGATATGTTCAGCGACAAGAAGTTATGCTTAGAAATGTTCCGAGCGTCGTTGCCGCAAAACATCGTGTCTTCCCACGCCTGGGCAATGGCACGGCCCCACCTGATTGCGCCTTGGCTGCCGTTTTGGGAATGGTGCCGCGCTCAGACCAGATGAGGTCCAGATGAATGATGCATGCGGGGAAACCAGATTGGTCATGCATCGAAAACTTCGTTTGCGCATGCTCTTCTTGGTGCCTTTGCCATCGACCTTTTCGCACTTGGCCCCGGACCTCGCCGCATGGACGCCATGGCGTCAAGTCTAGCTCCACGACGTGCATGCCACAATTGTCGACGAGACCGGCGGAAATGCGACATGACAGTGCCTCACTGCCAAAAGTGCCAGCTGCGCCGTCAAGAGTGCCAAGGCTACCAGCTACTGTTCAGATGGGAGAAAGGAGTCGCGAGTCGCGGAAAGATGCGTGGCTTGACATTCGAAGAGGATCTTGCTCATGGGAAGCATGGCCTCAGGCGACAAATCCTGCAGCCTAAGCACGATCTTGTCCTGGTTCCCATTCCAAACCCCGTCGACCCGCTATACCAAGGCCTGAGTCCACAGACCAGACTCTATCTCAATTACTGCATGTTCTCCCAGATTGCATCACTACTGTCCTGCGCCATTCTGACAGCTGTACAGTCGTGGAAAAGGTCTGCTCCGATCTAGTGCTGTAGGACGTACCGCATCGCAACCCCTTTCGCGATCTGGTTCCAATGGCTGCAGCGTACCCCAGTCTTCTGCACATCATGATTGCCAACGCAGCACTGCACATGTCGATGATGGGCAAGCGGGATCGCGTACCGGCTTTTACTGCCCATCATGTTGTCGCGCTTGCAGCGAAGCAGCATGCTCTAGAGGCACTGAATGAGGCGCTGAGCCACATGAGCCTTGCAGATATCGATGCTATCCTTGGCATAGTTCTGCTGTTTGTTGAATTCGATCTCATCAGCTCTGGGAGTAATGACTGGCGACAACATGTCCATAGCACGTGTCCACTTGTCAAGATGATATATGAGCCTGGGAATTCTGGTACAACCATGACGCCGCTTCGTCGGTGCCTCGTGTCACACTGCCTGGTGTACCCCTCTCCGATGCCCCACTGCGATTTGGTCGTCAGCTGATTCAAAGCGTCAGGTTCGGTATCCTCGGATGCACGCTCACGCACCCATCGAGCTTACGGCCAAGCACGACCATTCAAAGTGGGGCACTGTCTCTACTAGAGGATGCAGAGGGCAATCACTGTTCGTCCTTCCCGACCGAGCTGCTTGACCTCTTAGTAAGAGCCGCCCTCTTGTCGAAAGACAGTCTCCCTTCTGGCTCGGGCCATCGCCCATGGTCAATCAGCGTTGAGGCACAAATCATTCTGTCTGCAGCCAGGTCGTTCAAGGCGCGTGAATGGGCAGCAAATGTCCAGGCGCGTTCGCTGCAGCCAGATGTGGAGCATCGAATCAACGTCGCTTGTGCACATCAAGCTGCAACCTGTATCTATCTGGTCAGATTTCTATTCAGCCAGCGCGAGGCTGCGTCAATGCAACCCTTGCTGGATTCGTGGATCGAACAGGTCCAGTCGCGTTTGGCAGGAATATCAATAGAGCACAGACTGTTCGCTGCCACGGCCTGGCCTGCGTTCATTGCAGCAGCAGAATCGGGGGATGAAGCAGTGCATGTTTGGGCACGACACCATTTTGAGAAGCTGTGGACTGTACAACCTTGGGGCCTGGTCCGAGGTGCTCTTTCTGTCCTGGAAGAGCTGTGGTCTGCTAAAGCGGCCGAGCAGGTTACTGATCAACACGCTGGGTGGATGGAGTTCATGAAACACAGCGAATCAGCTTGGTTGATTCTATGATGGGGTCCTGCACACGAAGAACACAGTCTGCCTCGACTCTCTTCCTGGACTGCATGGTAGCGACACTGTGTCACGTCTGGGGCGTTCAAGCCTCTAGAAGTGGCCTGCCTCTGAATTACCTCGCAAAGAATCCGAAGCACGTACACTTTCACCAGCCACACAAAGGGTGCTGCACCTTTGTGGCACCTGCAGAATACTGGAGAGATCACGAATACGGTCGACGATCGCTTGCAGTGATACGGGAGGCAGCATGGAGCTCTCTATAACTTCGCACTGCGGCTTTGAGGTCGACACAGAGCGATGCATTTCCGTCATCGGAAATCATTCCGAAGCCTGACTGACGAGTATCATTTTCTACGCTACCAAATCCGGCCGCTGCAATCCTTGCTGGCCCCAGTATTCCATGGCATATTGCTTGAGTCGTCTCTGTTCCCTCGCATTTGGGGCGTCTGTGGTCAGACCGCGACGCCGGCGACTTTCCGCCAACTCAGCCATTTCTACATCATTCGATCCAAGCGTGGCGTGGCAAGAACGCATTTCGTATGATCGAATCTCGCAATTCTTCCAGCCCGTTGCAGGAAATCGACAGGCATCCTCCCAGTCGCTTGTGAAGTAGTGGAGGAATGTTCCATGTGTCACCAGCGCGATTTCGATTGTTGCCGATTTGTGCAGGTAATTCTTGGTGGCAAGATCGAATAGGAAGCGACGAAGTGCAAAGGCACGATACGTGATAGCCTTGTCGCTTGGGCTATAACGACTTCCTAGATGTTTTTGATTCTATCCATTGCGGACCAACGAGAGATCTACAGCCAGACCTCTTTCATTGACGAACTCCCGTAATTGCTCAGGGTCTGAACCAGTATCACATGCATCGTCTGAAGTTTCCTGCGCATCAGGGAGCGCCAGGACTGTCTTCTTTGTCGAGTTCAATATTTCTTCTAATGCAAGACAGGCGGTCTGCAAAGTTCGTCGACTTGGTGATGCTGCGATCAGCAGATTGTCTTTCTTTTCCAGCTCCCCACCAGGAAAGTGGATCTTCCATGCCAGTCTTGATCGCGCCTCGCCGTCCGGAGTCAGAAGAGGGTCATGCAACGTGTAGTCTTCCATCAGGTTGTGGACGCCTTGGCCATGGCGGATGCAATGGATGATGACAGTCATGGCGTTGACACGCTCTTAGCGGCTCTCTGTCCACTTCTCGATCTACAGATAGAGCTTAGAATTGGGCACACCATCGAGTGGTTGATATACAATCTAGCCATCGAAGGCATAACTCACAGCTCTGGGCGGCAGTATGTATTGATAATAGAACCTGTCATTATAATCTGAGAGCGCACAAGAAATGGAAAATGTATACGAACTGAGCAGAGGCCCAGATTCAGTATCCTAGTTGATGTTAGGGCCACCCAGCTGCCGCTAGCTGCTTGGCTGCCTAATATGGCATAGTCGTGCATCACTCTGCCGACAGCACTGGAGGTTGCTTCGATAGCTGATCAGCTCATGACTTCAAAGAGCTTTTTTCGAATATGACGCAGGGCTGCCATGGTTCCCTACAGGCGCGCTTTTGCCGCACTACTCTCTAGGTTTGCCCTCGCTTCGGCGTTCAATCGTTTCCACGTTTGCTTTCGAAGCTCATGTCCATTCGTAAAATCCCGGAACCATTCCCTTCGGAATTTGGGCAATGGTCGCCCCTTGCCGTCCTTGACTTCTCCACTGAGACTTCGGAGACGTTCAAACGTGTCTTCGAAATCCGGATAAACCAACGCAAACTTCGGCCCATCTCCTTTCTTCTTGATGCGGTCCTCTTCCCAGGCCTTCATCTCTTCTCGGGACGGTAACGTTCCACGACCGGATAACAAAGACGCTGCATAAATAGCCTGCCACTCGAAGATCTTGAAGGTCAGACCGGCGTTGACAGCACCTACAAAGAGTAAAGTAGGATCATGCTGCCACACGACATGCTCATACAAGTCCGGAATTCGATTGTTGCGTGTCGCCACTTGAGGTAGGAACGGAATCGTCCACGTGTAGCCGGTTCCGAAGATAATGTGGTCCACGTCGTCAATCACTGTGCCATCCTCTAGATGGACGGTTCGGCCAACGATTTGGGATATAGAAGGGTGGCGCTGGATCAAAGGATGATTGAACGCTTCGCCGCCGAAATAGACATTGAATTTGTGTCCAATGACGATTGCATGTACTGGAGCCACTGTGACGGACGTGAGATCGAAAGCTATGTCTGCAGCTGAGACCGAAGCACCAACCACAACTACACGCTGGATCAATTGAGCAACATCGTTCACGTAAAGCTGAGATCGAGCCAACTCACCTTATCTTTGTACAAATCTCTGCCACGGAAATGCTTGCTATGGATCACGCTGCCAGGTCGGTCTTTCTCGAACTCGTCCAGACCTTTGAAGTTGCATGTTAGCCGATTTCGCGCTATACATGTATATCTCGTACACGACAGAGACTGTTACAGTCTCCAGTCTCACTCGACTTCACCGATTCTGAGCTATCATGCAGCAAGACTTACCCGGAATTGCAGGAATGTAAGGCACGTTGTAATGCCCACTGGCAACAATAACGGCATCGAATTCTTCTGTCCACCAGTAATCATGTTCCTGTCCTGGATTCCGGAGCGTCACTTGCCATACCGATCCAACCTTTTCAGCTCGCTCGACGCTCGTGTTGTACGAGACGAAGTCCTCATACCCATTCCGTTTTACCAGAGATTGAATGTATTGACGCATCACCTTCCAATGTCGGTACGGAGATTTGGGCCCGTATAACCTTTTGGAGTACCCGCTCACTACTCCGGGTATAGGCTCCTGGCTGAATTGCATCGCTTCCGCGACAACATTGGTTTCGAGGTAAGGGTATGCTGTAGCTTCATCGAATCTCTGCTGATGTGTCTTCGGACGTATCGTTGGTGACTGCTCCGGTATTGTCAAAGGTGGGTCTGCAGTCCGGTCACCTAGCTGTGATATATTGGAAATGGTTGGTGGCAGGCCTTCATCACCGCTCCTGGAAGGCACTCGCTATGAGTATCACTTTCGTAGGCACGCTCGATGCAACATGAGGACGCAATTGCTTACCAGCATCCTCCAGCCTCACGTCTTCTTTCGAAGACGCGGATTAGATCGAAAGCCTTTTCCTGCGCGAGTGCATCGATGACAATGGCACCAGCAGGCCCAGCACCAACGACTGCGACTCTCTTGATTGAATTCCCACTCATTCTTGCATTAGCTTCACGGTCCTCCTTTGACTGGTGTCGACTCTGGATGGGGGCGTTCAATCCTCGAAATATGCTGCCGTCGAAAGCGCACTGACGACACCGATTCCATGCAATGTACCTGAACTCGACGTCGAGCTGGAGAAGTGAAGTCCAGAGCTTCAAAATGTCGTGCTTTGCTCTGCGACTGACGACACGCGACGCATCCTTGCTTCCAAGCTGTCCATGGCTCACCATATGGACATGATTGGCCTCAGCCAGGGTTATCTGAGCCCTAGCCTGGGGAAAGATGGCGTTTGTCAAGGGTTTCTCTGGGCACCTCTGAGCAACACAACACTCAAGAAGAGATCATGAAGCGAATACGTTGAGATAATGCTGTGCTCTTGATGGAGACCTTATAACTTGCGTCAGACACTCGAAGGAAACACACCCCTATCGCAAGACATATTCTTTATACCAGTCGATAATTATTGAGAATGGCACCGAGAGAGGTCTCAGTAGCTAAGAAGGACTGGCCGAATGCCGAGGATCTGGTTGTGGATGAACTCGAAACAAGTAGGAAAACTTCTGGCAGCTCAGCTGAATCTGCAAGGCCTGCTGTTCGAGATTGTGCAAGGCCTTCAGAAGGAGATCGTGAGAAAGTGGGAATAAGAGAGGAGCTCGATTCGGAGCTGCAGGATGTGGCGAAGGCGAAGACAAAGTGAGTAGAATGCTTTCGCAGTTGTTCTCCCACAACCTCATGCAGTCTAGTAACCACCAACTGAACCATCTGCTCTAGGGTCGATTTCTTAGTGCTGTTGATTTTGGTGTTTGGACTCCTTGTCTTCCAACTTGATCGCATGAACCTCGCATCAGCCCTCACCGGCGGTTTTGCTGAAGACATTAGGGTCGGCCAGAACACCATAAATCTTGGAAACCAACTCATGTTCATGGGTATTGTTGTTCTCGAGATTCCTGCGAACATGATGCTGCAACGCCTTGGTCCGAGGATCTGGATATCGACACAAGTATGCGTCTTCGGTCTGATAGCAACCCTGCAGGTTTTCGTGAAGGATCGCACAGGCTTTCTAATGGCAAGATTGATGCTGGGATTTGCCGAAGCGGGCTACATTCCTTGTGCGGCATACACCTTGAGTAACTGGTATACAAGACGCGAACCGGCGAAGAGGATGAGTGTATTCTTTTTCGGCATGTTTGGAGGCAATGCGATCAGTCCACTTCTGGCCTCCGGAATCCTGCAGCTAGATGGCCAGAGAGGGTTGAAGGGATGGCAATGGCTGTTTCTGTGTATGCCACACCACTGTCCCCCTCAATGACCTTGTGTGCTGACGAACTGGTACAGTGGAAGGCGTTCTCACTATCCTGATCGGTGTCCTTATGTTCTTCTGCCTTCCGGGTAGCCCGGACGATCCCAAAGCCGCTAATCGGCTCAGGCTATATGAGATTCACCACGAATGATCGAGAAGTTCTCACAGTACGCTTGGAGAAGGACGACCCGGAACGACACTTCTCACAAGGAATAAACTTGCGTCTAGTGTGGAGCACAGTCTCCTACTGGCGACGATGGCCACATTACGTCTCGACTTTTGCTGTCTTCTCGACTTGGTCACCGTTGACCACTTACACGCCTTCCATCATCATGTTAGTCTGCGTGGCAGTATTCTGATAAGTCAAGATCTTGCTAACATCTACAGGACTCTCGGCTTCGAACGAGTGCCAGCTAATGCGCTCGCAGCAGTTGGTGGATGTCTTGCCCTCCTTGTCGTCTTTATGATGGGTTACATAAGCGATCGAACGAACCAGAGGGGTGCCACAGTGATCGCTGCTCAGCTGTGCTACCTCACTGTGTTGATTACAGCTCGTCAGGTTTATCCACATGTTGGAAAATGGTCAAGATTTGTTTTGTGGACGGCGGTGAACAGTTTCGCTGTTGGCTACCATCCAGTGCACAATTCTTGGGTTCAGTTGAACTGCCATGAGGCACGAGAAAGAAGCATCGCTATCGCGTACGTCTCCCCTGCACTGTATACCGAGCTGAAGTTTCCTGACCTGATTCTAGAATGTGGGTAATGTCGGCGATCAGCGGATTGATGGTGGGAACACAGTACTTCCGCGCGAGCGACAGGCCATTGTAGGTGAAAAACTCCCTTCCACGAAAACTTCTCTAACGAAAGTTAGCTACGACACTGGCCTTCGAACGATGATTATTATGGTCTCAATCAGTGTAGTATTTGCTGCAATCCAGATCATCATATACGTAGCGTATAATCAGCGAGCGAGAAGAGGAGGTCAGACAGGACAATCCTTCTATATAACATAATTATAGAGAAGAGTCTGAGGTTGCGACTGTCACTAAGGTCCAACATGAAGCCCAGACTACACTTGAGTGGCTATCAAGCAGAGACAAAATATGGCCTTCCACGCGTTGATGCATTCTGAGCTGGATACTCCCGACTATTCATATGGACTTCGACTTCAACTTCATCAAGAAGCAGTGAATTCAAACGCTGACGGATCAGGCCATCGCAAATGTCAACGACATCTTGGGAGAATGATCATAGCCCACTGTGCGGAAGCATGTGGGGTCGGAAGACAGTGGGTGGTGGTCAATGTGGGCATCCGGGGGCCTGATCATCGTTCCAACATTAGACAACGGCTGAAGCAACTTTGAACTGTTTTGCTCACCTGGCAGTCTCAGCAGCACTCCCCGTGCTATTGGACAGCCATGGTGCGACAGGGCGGCGTTGAGGCGTGTGCTCATGGGAGCACCGACCATCGTAATGAAGGGTATTCCAATGCCGCTCAAGGATCTACAACTTCTGGACCTCTGTCGGTTATCATTGTTGGAGGAGGAATTGGAGGACTTTCGGCTGCCATCGCATTGCGAAGAGCAGGTCACAATGTGATCGTCCTAGAGCAAGGAATTGCTGAGGCCCAGACTGGTGCTCCAATCCATTTGCAACCCAATTCGAATGGCATCGTGAGACGGCTTGGACTGACGCCTGAGCTGTTCGGCGCGAAGGAGGTGACTCGAGTGACTGAATATGTACCCAACGGCTCCCTGGTACGATCTTTCGATATGGTCGAATCCAACAAAAAGTGGCAGCATCCATGGCAGCTTGTCCCTTCTGACAAATTTCACGCAGAGCTCCGCAAGACGGCCACATTGAAGCAAGGACAAGGTCAGCCGGTCGATATACGGCATTCCTCTTCCGTGGTGTCGACAGACAATCAGAATGCTTGGGCAACACTATCAACTGGAGAGGTTGTGCAAGGTGATGTGCTCATCGGTGCAGATGGAGTATGTTCGGGGACGAGGAAGACACTTCCAGCGGCAGCAGACATTACACCCTCATTCTCTGGTCACAGCGCTCTACACTTCCTTGTAAGCAAGAAAGAGGCGTTGGGAGACCCCGCAACCGAGAAGTTCGTACCGAAAGACGGTGAAATCGTTACGTGGCTTGGAGATCACGGTAGACTCGTTGCTTACCCGTGCCGGAGTGATGGGCTGTTGGAATTTGTCTGCATTCACCCTGGCGAGAAACAAGGTAACGCTCTCGACGACTCTGATACGAAAAGCAGGGACACTCTGCTGTACATGAGCGATGATCTTGGGGATGCGTTCCGAGCACTGCTTGCGAAAGCCAATAAGCAGCAGTCATCCACGCACTGGCCGCTGTTCGACATGGCGAAGCTTCCTACATGGACCAACAAGAAGCTGGCCCTTCTGGGTGAAGCTGCCCATACCTTTCATCCCCATCATGAATTTGGAGCTGGACAGGCGATTGAGGATGCCGCTGCTATCGCTGTCGTCTTGCCTTTGGGAACCGCGTTGGAAGAAGTCGAAGAGCGACTGAAGCTATACGAGACGTGCCGGTATGAGCGTGCACACTGGGTTCGGGAGTACGCACACATGGCGGAGGGCCACAGAGGAGGAGACGAGGCGATGCACGGTAGGGTCTCGCTTCGATCGTGAGACTTGATCGTCGATTGACTGACTGACTGCGCTATGTTCAGAATTTACCAATTACCATTTGTGTCACGACGAGTTCGACAGCGCCACCAAGAAGTTCGATGAATGGAAATGGGCAAAGAATCCAAGATTGTACTGGCGAATGCCCGTCGCCTTTGGACCGACACCTGGGCCTCGACAGGCCTTGTACACGGATCAACCTCAGCCTGCTCGCCACTCAACATTCACAACCGCCTCTATAAGCTTCAAGACCTCACGCACATTTCTCCAGAATTTGTTCCCCACCAGCTCTTTCACATTCAAAGATCCAGGCACCATCGCTTATGCTAGTCTCTCGCAAACTACACTTGACAGAATGGAGTGGCTTGGTGGTTCAGGATACAAACATTTTGGTCTCTACATCCATGGTGTGCGCTATACAAAGCAAGACGGAAGTACGATCAACGGAACATATCTACCATTGCTTTTCGAAAACCTGACCGATCCCATCATCAGTGGTCGTGACGAGCTCGGCTTTCCCAAGGTCTACTGCGCCATTGATGTCCGCCGAAGAAAAGACTCTTACCACGTACGCACATCCTGGCAGGAGGCTACGTTCGGAAAGTTCAATCTCGACGATCTAGAGTCTTCTGATCCAGGCACTACGGCAAAGCCTGCTAGTGATGGATCCAACTATGGCACATTAACATACAAGTACATTCCTGCAGTGGGAGAGCCTGGAAAAGCAGATGTAGCGTATGCAGTGGTTGTGCCGCACGAAGAAACGGCGAAACAAATGCCAAGTGAAGTAACGAGAGTCTGGGAGAGTACGAGGCCAAGCTTCGAGTTTGATGATCTGACACCGACGGACGTACCGACCTTGCATCACATTGTGTCAACGTTGAAACGAATGCCAGTCTACGAGTATGTTAGTGGTAGGATAGTGGAGGGCCTCGGAGTGCCAGATGTCTCTTCGGCGAGAAGGATTGAGTAGTGACAGTGAAAACGCCCATTGCATATGCCCAACTTTCTGGGCCATCTAGAATAGTCGATGTCCTGCCCTTCAATGTCTTCACAATTAAAATACATCGCCTGGGCTAGGTTGGAATATGATAGCCTCGCAGGCAGCATGTCTGGGTTGACGGCAGGATCGATAGACAGATGCTACAATCCAAGGAATAGCAAATGCAATTCATCGGAGTAAAAAGCACCATGTCCAGAGGCTTTGAGCGGCCGCAATATGTGAGGTCTTTGTAGCTCAGCCAGCTTCTTCACCTCAATCACCGCCTCCGTGCGCCAAGTCCAAATTGCTGGGGTCTAACTCTTTTTTCTCTTCTTCTGTCAACTTGACGCCGTACTTGTCCTGTAACTTCCGCAACTTATCCGCCGATCGACATTGCCGAACGTCGGTGACGCCTGAAATGTTTTCCGTCCCGAGAGTACCATTGTTGTATCTCGGGAGCTCAATCGTGCCATCGGCATTGCAGAGAATGGCTTGACGCAGATACCAGAAACAGTGAGCAAAGTGCGGTGCTTCGGTCTGGTCGATACCGATATGTCCGCCGTAGTGTGCTCGTTGCATGGCTCTTCGCATCATGCCCAGGCAGTGCAGGCTGTGGAACCTGTTCAAAGCATGTTAGCTACGAAGCAAGGTATTCTTGTCAGTCCCGATGTGCTCACATTCCAATTAAGCCCCACTCAGTCAAGTCTGCAGGACCCAGGCTATTGTCTTTTGGCAGCCTGATGCTACCTTGCGCTGGGGCAATATCGTCTGCCCACAGATAGTCATACTTGTAGTCCAGACTCATGTACCTCGGATCACTTCCATAAGTCAACTGCACATCGCCGATTTCACCACTTGTGGAGCGATGTGTGCCACGAAAGTATGCATCGCTGAGATTCAGAGCCACAAGAACGATAACGAAGGGTACCAAGATCCGTAGCAGGATGTACGGGAGGACCGTCCACAGCTGTAGGATTCGTCTTCGGTGTTTTGTTTGTCCCGCAAATGGATCGATCCACTCCCCGTGTGGTGTTAACGGCGTCTCTGCACCAATCTCGAGCGAAGCCTGTGAGCGCTGTCGGAGGTGGCCGCTTTCGTGGTTCAGCTTCTGATACTCCATGGCGTCGACAGCATGTTCGGAGGAACAATACTAAGAGGCGACTTCGAAGTCATAATGCGAGTCATCAATGCAGCGCTACACCTGATTGAGACCCGTTTAGGGAAGACGCTGAGCTGGAAGGCGATTTAGACAAAGAGAGCCTCGATGTTGCTCCTTTGTTACCACTCTCGCGAAACATCAGCAGGACGGAATGTCGGCTGAGAACAAAGAGCACTGGAATGTGGGCACTCTGGCGGCAGCTCTGCGACAGAAGAGTGTTGCAAGACGAACGCCGTAGTTTTGTGCTGATAGATACTAAGCTTGCCATCCTTTGCTCGCCTGCAGGTCTTGACATATCTCTGCATCAAGGTCGCTGCGAGAACCATCCAATACGTGACTTCACCCGAGTGGGCTCAGCGGGCTCGGCAAACGTTTGTGGCGATGTCTTGGACATGGAGACCCAGCTTGCCCCATCGTCGACGGCGGGCCGCCACTTCCTTAAAAGTAGAGCCTCCGTATCCATGGCTGCGCTCACGCACAGCACCGGTCCTCGATTCATCTCGTTGCCAATTACACTCTTCCGCGTGGGCAAGGCTCTCAACGTCCCACCTGTGCCTGAAGTCCAGTTTTCGCATCGGCCATATTATGACACGCTTTGCAAGAGCCATTTACACAGCAGCACTTTCCCCGTTTTGACAGGCTGCAGGCTCAGATTCAGGCTGACCAAATGTTTCGATACCACTCACTCGGTCGCCATCGTAGTTGACCCTTATCCTGTTGATAGTCTGCCGACTTTGTCCAGCCGAGAACAAATCATGCGGAAGAAATTTAATACTCGAGCGGCCGACAGAAGTAAGCGTGTTCGGAAGGTCCGAGGTTGTCGGAATGTGATGCATACCAAGGTTGAACCAAACGACAAGATCATTTTGTTCAAGCGGTTCGCCATTAAAGAACTCTTCAAAGTCCACCGGAGGGTTGTAAACATCGAAAGCATTGAGAAAGTGTGCAGACCGTGGCTCGGAGTCGTGCTGCGCTGTGACGTGGACATCGTGTTTCGCCCAGTGCACGGCATTTGCTACGACAGGGCTGTCGCTGATCGTTAGATGGGAAGCACCAGCGCCTTTGTGGATCCTCCAGCCTCTGTACTCCCCGAAGTCGTTCTTTTCGTCTTGGTTGAGCACCACAAGCATAGTTTGATCATTAGCGTCCCAATTCAGACTGCTATTATCCTCTGATCGAACCATGGACCGTTCTAGTCGCATTGAATTCCGCTGCTCTCCTCCAGACCAGGAGTATGCCTTGACAGCCGGTGCCACCTTTGTGAGCTGAATAGTATTCGCCCGTCCAAGGACGTCAAAATCGGCTTTGAAATTGAAAATGTGATCGTGCATGGATCCCACGAGATGGTCATGAATCCGATAGCCATAATCCTCGTTGTGAGCAGAGTGCGCGGCAAAGATAGATCCAGACGCATGAACTTCAACCTCAACAGTGCCGTCCATGGAGAAGCTGTAAGTAAACACGAAATCATAATTGCCGACTGTGCTGCACCAGCGAATCTTCAGATGGCTGTTTCTGGTCACGGTCGTATATTGGGGAGCCGCATGCCGCTGAAGTGGCACATCAGCAGCTTGCTCAAATATGCATATGGAATTAGGCCTCGTGATCAAGTTGCCATATGTGAACATGGTCGTGTTCAGATAGGTGGCATGCGCTGGGCAATCGTAGTCGGCAATAAGTGGCGTAGCAGAACTGCCGACGCCGTTGGTCGAGTCTAATGCAGCAAAGTTGGCCTGGTAAGGGTCGTTCCCTAATTGTGTTCGTTAGCATCTTCTAACATCTGTCCTGATCAAGCATGTATACCAGCATAGTGAGCCAATGACTCTTGTAGACTCAGCTCATACAAGACTGTAGTATTCTTGTACCGAACGTCAAACAGTCCGAGCCCAGTCTCTGCGTTGAAGCTCAAGAAGAAAGTGAATCCCATCCAAGAAAGCGAGCCTTGATCTTTATCATACAGGTATCGAGGCTCAATCGTGCTTGAACTAATAGGTGGTGGCAGATGTTCCATGGGTAAAGGCGCTCCTTGCTGATCTGTACTCGTCCAATTTCCGTCAAAATTCATACCCAGTCTCTCGAATTCAGGTGCGAAACATGCTTCTCGTAGTTCGTCGGCCGTTGGGTAGGATTTGTCGTCGTACACCCATTGCAGGATCTCCCAGTGTTCCGAGTTTCTGTTTGTAATGTCTGCTTGAAATGACAACGCTGATGGGAGGAGCGTTCCAGAGTCGAAGCCCGTGGAGCTTTTGGCTTTGAAATTGAACCAAGTCACCAGACGGCCGTCTTTCTCTTGTCCGTAGGGATTGCTTTGTATGATCTGCAGAGTATCGTTGCCACTCCCAGTCACCACGCCCCCCAGCAAGAACAATGTCACGTCAGCGACCGATCGCCCGATGCGATATTTCCATGCTTCGAGACTCGAGCCGATACCATAAAGGTCACGGACCTTCGCTCCTGTCTTTCGAGTTAAGGGATACTCCAGCGGAGTAATAATCGTTCTGTCTGATATAGGAAGGGGACCGACCAACAATTCGGCAAGATATGGCCCCTCAGCGTCTTGATACCCAAGAACCGCCCGAGCATAACGCGATGGTGCGGGACGGCCGTTTTGCAAGAAATCCAAAACGTCAGATTTGTTCGGATGTTGCAATGCGATAGAGAAACTGAGGAATCCTTATTCATTAGAACTCATGGCAATCCGAGTGTCGTGCTCATATTACTGACATGCCGTTCGACGAAACACTTGGTGGTCCTGATGTGTTCAATTCTGGATCTGGCTGCTCTCGCAACCAAGAAGCGATGCTTTGCAACTCCTCCGGGCTCAATGGATTCCAAAGATTTCGTGCAGGGTATTGGGTCGAGCGTTGAGCTTGAACCAGAGTAAGACAGCTCAAAGCATGGATAAAGTACCGCATGGTGACGATTGTACTGCCTAGGGAGAGTGAGAAAATGCAGAATTGGTCGAAATAGTTGACAGTATCAGGTACGCTTGCTCTGAAGGTGGTGGACTCACAGCCGTAATCTCATAGACTTTGGTAAAAGCTGGGGTCGCAGGCATGTGTCAGGCAGGGGAAGGTAGCATACGCTAAATTTTGTGACCGGACATTATGCTTCGTGATATTCACCCGAATCTGAATTGATACAAGTCCCAAGATGCCGACAATATCTTCGAATGGTGTGCCTGCCACCTGCACAACACAATTGGGCTTTCCAAGACTGTGACACGAGCCTACGTATGCAGAGGACCGCGAAGATCTGAATATCTAGATTGAACAGGCCGTGGACTGTGCCGTATACTGCGAGGAAGGCATTTTTCGAGCTGGTCAAGAGTTTGTGTCGGTCGTTCGAAGAAGGATCGATCAGCCTTCATTTGAGGTGAAATCAAGAAAGCGCCGGACGTGGGTGGATCTATTCCCCAAAATGGAGGCTCTCACCTTCATGTATCCGTTTGAGAGAGTACGAGAGCAACTTAAAAATCTCACTGGACTGGGCGCACATCTCGGAGAAATCGCAGGTTCAAGATCATTCTGAAGCTCATTGCCTAACCTCGGCATTGAGCGTCGAGCCTCCTTTGCCAGGATTTACATAATCGGCGCAATGTTGAACATGGAATTTTGCTGCAAGTTGCGCTGATTGACGTGAGACCAGTCTTGAGATTGCAGCGCAGTCGTGATCAGTGAGCCTCGCTAGGACACTGAGGATAAGAAGTCGGCTCTTGAAAGTTGAGTGAAACACCTTGAGCAGTCAATAATTAATCTTCCCATAGATGGTGTTTTCCTGGAAATCCTTACAGCCTCGCGCTGTGTGGATAATGCATCTCAAATGCGAGAGATATCCATTCTGAAGGTCAGATCAACGCTAGTGGAGTCTCTGCCCGTCACGACTGCTCCAGAAGGGATTTTGCGTTGCTGGTTCGGAATATACCAAGAGAAACGTAGCGGAAGATGAAGTGATGGACAAGAAGACGGTGGTCGCGCGAAGCCTTTGTGCTCGAGTGGACCTCAGGCTGACGCATGCCCTACCCCTTTAGGCAGCGACGTTCGTGACCAGAGAAGGAGAGAGAGACATGCCAAAGAGCGGGACTGACTCGATGAATGTACAACATCATGTGCTTCACGATGTGACGATGACGCTGCCGCGGAAGCCTCCCTCTTTTCCACCGACTGTGCGCCGACGTAAGCTCGACAGAACACCGTTTGCCCCTGCCAAAGTCGACAGCGCGCTGCAGGTGAATCAATGTGTTTGTCGCGGCGTTGAGATTCACTCAAGACCCCTCCTGTCTTGGCGACTTTCTTGACTGCAGGCAGAGCGCCACGACAGACTTACTTCCTTCTCGCTCACTCTGCTTCTTTCATCGCACCGCCTCACCATCGACCAGCCTTCACTCAGTCTGCAAGCCCAATGGCTGCCCGTCGCCGCAAGCACAAGACCAACAGCGGCAGCGCGCCTGTAAAGCGCCGCGCTCGCGGTCGAAAATCCACCTCTGCCAACAAACAGGCTTCGAACACCGCCGACTCGACGACAAGCACGGTCGATCAACCCGAAGAGAAAGCGTTTCGATTCCTGGACCTCCCAACGGAGATCAGACTTCTCGTGTACGAGCACCTGCTGGTTGCGAATACATCGTTGAAGCTGCGGCCCCCAACCAAAGTTTGGAAAAATGTCTCGGGCGGGAAGTACGATCTGCATCCCAGTATCATCGCTACTTGCCAACTTGTTTACCTCGAAGCGGTTCCCATCCTGTACGGCTGTAATGAGTTCGAAATGACGGATATTTTCGATATCTTGGGGCTCTCACCCCTCTTAAACCGCTACAGAGAACACGCCAGTCGCGTTACTGCGATCCACGTCGACTATGATGTCGGCAAGTGGAGTATTAGGGAGATTCTCTCGCTACTGAAGGGGTGCAAAGCTTTATCAAAACTCACGATCGGCCGAGCCGTGTGGTCATATTACGAAGACGCCCAAGCATTTGCCAAAGCCTTTGGCCCGTTGGCCCGTATGCTCCACAAGAATCAGCAAAAGAAGCAGGATGTGAAGCCTCGCGACGTCCTCGATGGGCTGCACTTGTAAGGATGGACTTTTCTGAGAACCGGCACCAAAGAGTCGCCTACGCTCAGGGACGTTGACGACAGAGAAACAGCCGATTTTGCAGACAAAGTGAAGACTCTGCTCCGCTCAACTTTCAAGTGATTGGCGGCTAAATAGAGACACTCTCATACACATAATCTGAGCGAAGAAGGTCAGCTGCGTCTCCGTATCCGAACTGTAGAGAGTTTGTAGTCCTGTGCAAAGGCTAACTCGCTGGCAGAGGAAACACTATGCAGGTATGCGACGGTAAATATGACACACTGCCAGTGGAACCTCGTAATGGCGAACGATTGAGTGCGATCAATGTACAAGAACGAGAAGGGGACGGGCGTTGAAGAGAAAGTTGGCTACAGGGACATGGAAAAACGAACCACCTCTCTGGCGAGCAATTGCATTGTGTCGATGGCATGCAAGCCAGCCAGGGACTTGCTCAACATCAGCAGTAAGAGCGATACCACAAAGCGAACAGAGCTGCGTCTTGGTCTTCTTTACACAGTTCGGGGATTGTACGCTTTCAATAGGTCAACACTCATTCTTCATCATTATGAACGACGCAAATTGTGCCAGGAATTGTTGCTCTATCCACAGATTTTGGACGCTTCCTCTTTCCCAGAGCTTCACTAACCATCCACTCCTCAACTTGCGCTTCGACTTCTGAGCGCAGATGGAATCCCCCAGTCCCCTTTCCTCTTGGGCTACACTTCTAGACTTTTGACCTCCTCCCGTCACTACTCCTCACTCTCACCAAAATCGACGCTGAAAAACAACTGCAACGACCCAGCATCCTCTACGGGTCCTCGTATATTTAATGTACGAACGTAGCCAGTTGCTTCACCGGCCATACGATGCAAGCCACTGCTGTATGCAGTTGCACTCCAGGACCAACATATACGCAGAATCGACAATCAACTCAGAAACTGGAAGAATCACAAATGCTCGCATTACAGTAAAAACTAATTGTTGCTCGCTTGAAGAACTTAACAAATGCTGCTTCAACTCAATCAAATCGCATCGCACGCGCATCGCACTCGCATCGTCTGTCGCTATGTATCCAAACGCAAAAAGAGAAGAAAAACATAACAAGCACAAATCCATCATCACTCGCATCATTGCCATCGTGTAAATTTTCCCTCATTGTTTCTCAAGCTCGTATCACCACCTGTTCTGTAAGTCCTGCCTGCCTATATGTCTCTTGTGTCATCCTGCGCCGACCAGACCCCAAGTTCGTAATGTCGTATCGCATCTTTCGACAAGTCGTTGTCTTGATCACTTGAACTCGCCCGGCACGTGCAGTTTGCTGATACTCAAGTTCGTATCATGCCGGATCACACGTGGAAAGAGCTGACCCGTTTCGTGCGCGCCCTGAGCTTCGTTGCCGCTCAGAGGAGGACTGGCCGGACCACTGAGAGAATCGGTCGTGAGCTCTGAGGCGATGGCGGAAGCTGTAGGCAGGGGAGCAGACTTCTCGGTGGACCCGGCAGCGGCAGGACTGGCGGCAGGTACAACCGCAGGGACGACCTCGGCATGCAGCGGGGTCGTGGATTCGAGGGTCGGTTGAGTTGGGTTGGGAATAGCTGTGGGAGAGACAGCAGCAGGTGGCGATGAAGGAGGCGAGATGGGTTCGTTGCCTAAAGCAATAGCGGCGATACTATTACCGATGGGCGAGGCACGAACAGATCGTTCGCGCGAGATAGTGCTCACGTTGCTAGGAGTGTGAGACAAATGCACCTGGTCCGGAGTTGTGTCGATAGGCGACACGTTCTTGTCTTCGATGCTGGGAACAACAGAATCCTGCTGGCGGCGTCGATATGCTTCTGCACCCACAACCCCAGCTCCAACACCTGCAACACCGGCTGCGGCGGGAGCGATGAAGGTGCTCGGCTCGCTGTTGGACTGAGCCAGCGGAACTTGTGACCCAGACTGAGCAGAGGAAGCCGCCGGCTCATTGCCTAAAAAAGGCTGTTTGAGCTTTTCATCGCTGAGTGGTGCTGCCAAAGGCGTTACGGGAGCCTGATGCTGAGACGCTGGCAGCTGCTGAGTGCCTGAAAGTGCATACGTCTGAGTCTGCAGGGGCTGCTGAGCTGGCACTGGCTGGGCGGGTGCGACTGGCGATTGCTGGACTGGAACTGGCTGCGCAGGAGCGACTTGCGACTGCTGCAAAATGGCATTCTCCTTGTCTTGCTGCTGACGACTGTATGCTGCAGCGCCGACTGCACCAGCACCAACGCCCGCTGTGGCAGCAACAAGCTCGTCCTGATGCGGCGGGGTATATGCGCGACTGACAAAAGGCTCTTCATGAGCAGTTCCGGCATCAACATTGTCCATGCGATACGGGTCTTTACCACCGTAATCATAGCTTGGGCCACGGAAATGGTTTTGGGAGGAGCCAGGCACGGCGCCAGCTGCGGCAATGATATTCGCATCATCGTCATCCGTGTCATCGTCGACGGCGCCATCAGCGGCTGGAGTGTAAGCGCCGGCCTTTCGAATAACCATATCAGACGGGAACCGACCGCCTAAGGTCATCAGTGACTGCAATACCAAATGCGATTGTGAGAACGAGGCAAGACAAACGCAAGGTATTCAGGGATACGCACTCACTCACCTGGCTGTGGTCTCTTTGGTCTGTCGTCCACAACGGGATGTTGCTCGGCCAAGCTGGTAACATCGGCCGAATAAGGCGCCTGATCAGCTTCATCATCTTCGAGGCCATCGCTGCTCACGGTGCCTTTGTCGCTAGTGCCAGACACGCTCCTAGCATGTTTGCGCACAAAGGCTTGACGCTGCTCGCCGGTGCCCTCAGTGAGCATTCGAATGTCCTGGAACCAGGCCATCATGGTATCGTAGCTCTCAGCGCGGAAGACCCAGTTGTGCCCCTTGTGCATGCCGCCAGACTGCTTCCCCTTGAGCATGAACTTGTGACTGGAAGAACCACGTTCCGAGTGCGACCCAAGCTTCTGGTCGAACAAGTACAGCGACATGACTGGCGGCTGCGAGTAGATCTTATCCGCCGATTTGAACTCGTGGAGGTGCGTTGGCGACAGCACGTACCAGCCCGGTGTGTAGGACTTGAGATATTTGCTCTTGCGTTCCAGCATGCCGGCACGGATCTCGCTGGCTGCGGGTGCGTGCTTGCCTGGGTACTCAATGTCCTCGATGCGGCGGAGAGGCAAGCTGGGGTCGACGAAGTGAGGATCGTGAGTAACGAATTGATACCATTCCTGGTCCTTTGGCATGGAGATCGGGCCACCTCGGAGGCTCTCAACAGCACTGTATGCGTCATCGGCCTCGCGTTTGAGAATGCCCGCGAGTGCATTGTAAGCCTTTTGGATTTCGCCAACGACGATGGACTCGAGCTCACGTCCCGAGCTTTCGAGATTGAGATATGCCTGTAGCAGATTAGTATAGCTTCCCAGCAAGACCTCTGCCTGAGCTCACCCTGTGCAAGTAATTCTCCTCGTCGACCTGTCTCTCAATCTGCCTGTCGACTCCGAGACGGACCACGTATGGATCGTTCTTGCCAATTGCGTTGCCGTCCTCATGCGCAGCGTGTTGGAGCGCCTCCTGCAGCTTCTCAACCTCTTGTCTGGTAGCAGCCTTCTCCTTCTCGACGGAATTCTTAAAATCGCCGCTCAGGCTCTTGATCTCTTTGATCTTCTGCCCCAAATCACTTCGCAGACCAGTCAACGCGCCAATTACATCATTCTCGATTTCTCTCGATTTCGCTGCTTCGGCGATCGATCGCTTGTGGTAGCCGTCAAGGATGCGAGTTGCTTCGCTAAGACCATCGTTGCTCATGAACACTGCAGGGTGAGTAATGTTAGAAATGGTATTCTGCACCTTGTGCAATGCTTTGCCGCGAGCTTCATAGGAGTTTTGGATTTCGCGAAAGTAGGCGATCAGCGACTTCAGTAACTGTCTCCACGCCTGGAAGCGATTGGCGAGCACTTCGGTCGGTGTTCCAGTGGTCGGCACGGGCGTGAAAGCATAGCTGTGGAAGTCCTCGCTGTCGGCGTCGACGACACCCTTGATGCTGCCGGCTCTCAAGCTCCTCTTGCTGCTGCTACGTCGCAGACTGCCGCTCCTCTTCACGCTGCTCTTCTTCTTCAGTGTGTTGCTGCGACTGACTCCACCGGTGCCTGAAGTGCTGGCGCGCGAGACCGATCGCTGGGGGCCGTCGATTATGGAGGAGCCTCGCTGGCTCGCGTCGAAGTCCTCGTGGAAGACGCCGCCGCGCTCGACGGACTGAGCCAATGGCGAGCTCATGGCGGGATTGCCTGAGGTCGCGAAGTCGGTCTGCGAGGTGCCGTAGCCTCGCGCGGCGTGAGAATCGCTCAGCGGAGGGATGGAGGAGTAGCTGTTCGACATGGCCGTGGCTGGGTTGTGTTCCCAGGTATGATGCTTGTTCGCCCCAGATTCCGTGCCGCAGGTGATGTACAGTGGCAGCTCCCCGGAACGGCGGCGGAGGGGGGAAAGAGGTCTGCAGAAGCGCAGAATCTGCGTCGACGGGTCGAAGCAGTGCAGGCGGGCGGCGTCAGACAATTGCGTGGTATGTATGTTGAGGTGCTGCCTCTTCGTGTCTCTCTCGTTGCGCGGAACTCGGCCACAAGCCACACGCTGCCGCTAGTTCTACGTCACCACACACGTTCGCGGTGCATCCGGTGAAAGCTTGTCCCAAGCAATTTCACAAGAACTCTCGCCAACCTCCACGCAGCCTGCTCGTACAGCCGTCGAATACGAATGGCGGTGATGATGGAGGAAGCGTCGAATGGTGAGTAGTCAGTCGTCCTCGAGGCCGCAATCACACACCTCCTGAGCGTGGACTCGTCGATCCACAGGAGAGACAGAAACACCAGAATCCCTCTCGCCCCAAACCGATGAAATGAACGCGTCCGAGCGCAAGTTCATCACCGACGTCAGCTCGCAGCGCAGAAGCCGAGAAGTGGCAGTGGCTAAACTCTCCCGCCAAGCTCTCGACAGCAGTCACACGAACAAACATCTGCCAACTGTCCGTCATCACCTTATTCTTGTTTGCATAACCATTCCGCGGGAGCCGAACTTGTGCAGCAGTACTGATGACTCGTCACCATTCGACACCTTCACGATGACGACGACAGAAGATTGGCAGCAGAGCGAGATGAACAGCAGCTCCCCTGCTCGTTTCGCTACGGTATCTGCTGAGCCACAATTGGGCCCAGGCGCTAAAGCATCCCAGCGATCATCCTAATTACCGGATCGGAAAGGTTGGCCTGTCGCTGCTGTCAACATGTGACATGCCGTGTGGCTCACCCGTGCGACTTCAGCAGCAAGCACAAGCACGTCTTGCAACATGAAACCCGAGTCGGGAACGGGTGGGGAGGCATTTCGAGAGCGAGAGCTCCATTGGCACTATCGAAACTGTAATCGAGACACCTCACCTGCCAGTATGATGACGGCTCTACGGTATGATCGTACACGTGCAGGCTGTCAGTCAAGCTCCAGTTCTTCACCACCCCCTCCCTCCCGATCTAGCCCCGCGACAACCGGGTTGGAGCATTTCCTGAACTTGTTGTCTCTCAACCACGTCTTCACAGAAACCTGGAAACGTTCGAGCACGAGAGAATGAAATCTGGGAATGCTGCACTCGAGAAGCATGTCTCGACCCAAGTTCCAGGTTCAAGCCTTGCCTTCTTCCTCACCAGTTTCTGGCGCAACAAGAAGTTTGGTACAGCTGCATTAGTGGGCAATGCCATCCTCGTATTCGTGCACATGCCCCTCGGTCATAGACAAGGACGAAGGTAGAATGGTCGAACTGGGGACAGAGGAAACATACTCATTCCGTAGTATTGAGATGAAATGAAATGAAATGTTGATCTGAGCAGCGCTTTGCCTTGCTTTGCTCTGCCTTGACTGTGATTACTGTTGTTACACTTTTCGCAAAGTAGTCCCTCGAGAGATGAGACTTTGCTCCCCCACTCCCGTTTTGATGTATGCCATGCAATGAAACGCTCAGAACGCTGCAAAATGCCTTCAAAAAGTCGCCCCTCACCTCCGTTTTATTCTGGATTGATCAATCCATGCTTCGCTTCGCGCTCTTCTTCTTTCTTTCTATTCGCTGCCACGGCCAACTTCTTCCCAACCTCATAGCTGGAGATCATGATAGCACAAGCAGGTGCAACCTTCATGGTTCGAGCGGCCCAGCCCTTGAAGAGTCCAGACCAGCCTTCGGTGCGGTAGATATGGTAGAGAAATTTGGGCATCGCTTTGCCTTCTGGTAAGGATGCACGCTTCTCAGCAGACATGCTCGAGTCCATGACAGTCTGCTGCCGTGTCTTGCCGACATCGAATGGCGTCGTGACGAATGCTGCAATCGCACCAGATCCAGCTCCAGCCAAGAATGAATCGTAGAGGAGTTGAGTGCTCGATAGCTGGGCGTTCGATGATGGTCCGGTCAGTGGAGTGTTGATTGCCCGGCTCTCATCCAGCTTCTTTCGGCCCCATTCATAGCCCCACCAGTAAAATGCTGAAAAGGGCACATCTCTCCAGAAGGTCAAAGTGATGCCTCGCCAGAGGGTATGCACTCCTTGGTCCCGCACCATATCGGAGAGTCCGCCAATTGTTGCCCGCATCACGCCTCTTCCGCCTGTTCCCTCTGACTGTACTGCCTGCATTCGTGTCCGCAACATTTCGATTGGACTGACCACGCCTGCCGCAAGTACACGGGCAATCGCTCCATCCACCAGCGGCGCCATGTCCTCGCTCACTCTGCTCTTCATCGGACTATTCGGATTCCATCGTAACCAATCGTATCCTGCGAAGTATATGACATTGGCAGGGATCGCCATGGCGAGTGTCGGACTCAGTCCTCGCCATAATGTGGAGATACCCTCATTCCTCGCAATCTTTCGGAGTCCATCGAATGTGGAATTAATCGTCCTCTTTTGAGTCTCTGCTGCAGCACAGTCAGAGATCACTGGTTCTACGACGGCGGCTTGGGACGGTGCCGCAACGCAGAATTGTGATTGATTTTGCACCCAGAACACCTCCCGACAACACGCCGTCACGCCGAGGTTGGGAGGAAGCTGCAGGAAGGAGGGAAGTTTCGCGGTGGGAGACGGACTTTTCTGTGCTTGCAGTCGTACGCGGACCACATCGAGCGGTGTGACTGTGATCTAAGTTAGCTTCAATCACCAACAGTCTGGCAAGAGATGTGCATACCAACTAAGGAGGTCATTACAGAGCCGACGACTGCAGACATCAGCTTTTGCGACAGGGAGCTTTCTGGATCTGCCGTACGCAGCGCCGGTGAGGGCGGTGTCCGCTGTGGTGTCGCATCATCGCCTATTCGGTCGTGCCGTTGGCCTTGTGTGTGTGTCCTCGCCGCCATCGTGTTCGTGTGTGCTCGTGTTCGTCGGTACTCGCGTGTGCTGTTGTCGCTCAATCGCGTCGCAATGCGCGGCGCTGGAAAATTGTCGCCACCACTACTTCTCCAAAGAGAAGATGTCCTTCACCCAATGTTTATCTCTCCTCCCAAACCCCTTTGTCCCCGGCTGCAGTCCCGCGACACAAGAATGTCGTCAGGGCGATGGCGGTGATCGATGGCGGACAATGATGATTCCATGACCTTCTTAACCTTCCCGCCCTGTGCATGCTTCTGTCCGATCGCGGAGATAGGCGACCTCTTCCGTCGATAGCCGTCGCGCCACTTTCTCGGTGACTCGTTTTGGAATGCCTCAGGAACAAAACAACCACACCTTCCGTCATCACCTCCGACTTCACTCCCATCATTCCCTAAGAACACCGACACGATGAGCACCAATGACAGGACTCTCAGCAACGATGCCGCTCCGGAAACGGAGGCTGAGTTGGAGGCATTTCGACAGCAATGGCGGGAAGAAGTGTCAGCTAGGAACAAGCAGTCCAAGGCGGGACCTTCGAGGCCCAATCCGGTAGACACAACCAAGTCGAAGCAGACTCCAGCCGGACCGTCGCAACCAGTTGCGTCTGGGTCAGCTCTTCGCAACGAACGCTTTCACGAAGAGACTGCGCCCAAGGCGTACCATGATCTACCGGACAAGGAGGAGCAGCTGAGATTAGGTGAGGAAGGCCAGGAGCTTAGTAGGAACGTCGTCGCAGAACCAACGTCAGCACTCGAGCACTATGAGAGAGCAGTAGAGAAAGAGACTCAAGGCCATCTGAGCGAGAGCATGAGACACTACAGGAAAGCATTCAAAGTCCGACTTCTCCCATTTCCACTTTCATGTCCACATATACTGAGGTAAGTCGCAGCTCGACGATGGCGTGCACGAAGCCTACAAACGGAAGCATTTCCCTGCGTCGTCCTTCCAAAAGCCCAAGCCAGCAAATCCCAACCCTTCAAATGCATCCTCCACAGTGCCACGCACCGATCATCACTCCCTGCATGGCAGTGCTGTCGGCGAAGGACTTCCAGCCACACTCAAGCAGATGGTGGAACAGTTCTCGGCTATGCGCATCGAGCCGCCAGAACCCGAAACAAGCCTTTCGCCGAATGAGAGATGCCCCCTCGCCGAGTTGCCAGAGGAGCTGCTTACGCATATTCTCATGGACCTGGCTATCGATGACGTTGCTTCTTTCGCTCGACTTGCACAAGTCTGCAAGAGGCTGGCTTACTTGGTGTTGACAGAAGACTCGATCTGGAGGCAAGTGGCTATGAGTTCAAAGTATGGCTTCCCATCGATGCATTACGATTTCCCTGTTGAGATCGACGGCTCACCTGTGGACCAAAACGAGCAACTCGCCAAATACATGGCGTCGAACGCTGAAGATGCAGACGAGGAGATTCCAATGCCACCGACTCCTGAAGAACGCGCAGTCGCCTTCTCTGCGCTCACCGATAGTTTGCTCGTATCGCACTACTCCTCCTCCTGGCGCCAGATGTTCAGATCGCGTCCGCGAATACGCTTCAACGGCTGCTACATCTCCACCGTAAACTACACTCGCGCAGGAGCAACTTCGACTAACACTCTCACCTGGGGCGCTCCCGTACACGTGGTTACATACTTCCGCTACCTCCGCTTCCTTCGCGATGGGTCCTGCATTTCCCTACTCACGACCGCCGAACCCGCCGATGTAGTTCACCATCTCACGCCTGAGAATCTCCACTCCGAACACTACGGAAACGTCCAATATGTCCCTTCAGCAGTGATGAAAGATGCTCTTCGCGGCCGCTGGCGTCTTTCCGGACCAGCATCAAGCCAAGCGAGTCATTACGACCCTACCACAGGCAGGTTCGAAGACGAGGAAGTCGAGGGCGATGTTTTGATTGAGACAGAAGGCGTGGTGCCGAAGTATACGTACCACATGTTCCTCGGTCTGGCGCACGCGGGCAAGGGAGCCAGAAACAACAAGCTCGCCTGGAAAGGATTCTGGAGCTGGAATCGATTGACAGATGATTGGGCGAGGTTTGAGCTGAGGAATGATAAGGCTTTCTATTGGAGCAGAGTAAAGAGCTATGGGGATGGAGTGTAGATGATGCTTTGATGGGACGAGATCCGTGAGGTTCGCATCTGCGATACTTGTCGTGAGGGAAGAGTAGATTTTTGTCCTACGGATTTATTACGCTATTGCTAATTCAGAACGAAGTACGTTGAGTGTGGAACAGTCCTGGAAACACAGTCAAACATCGCCACAAAGCCAGTCACTTTTCCCCTCGTCAATCATCAACATCACTCTCAGTCCCGGGCGCGCTAAAGTCAAACGCCTGCAAAGTCCTTGCAACCTCCAAAATACTGTCCGTACTCAGAACCTTTCCCTCCTTACCTCCAGCCAAAGTCATAGCAATGCTGACAGCATTCTTGATCTGTCGTCCATTATAGTCCAAATCCGCAAGCTCACTCAAACCAGCGCCATCGACGTTCACTCTGTCAGCACCCAACGAGATTTCAGCTTTCTCAATGAATTGCAGCCAGACTTGCCGGCGAGCTCGCCAGTCGAGTGCTGGGTAGCGGTAGCAAAAGTGAATGCGGCCTATCAGGAAGAAAGTCCTTGTCAGCACGTCATGTACAATGTGTGTTGCATGGTGTGTGAACTCACTTTGAAAAGCCGCATCAATAATCTCCGGCTGATTCGTCGTCAAGATCATGATGCCCGGATAATACTCCAATTCTCTCAAAAACACACTAACAATGGCATTCCGTTCCAAATCATAGATGTTTCTCTTTGCAAGAAAAACATCCGCTTCATCAAGCAATAGAACAGCCTGCCAATGCGCGCAAAGATTCATGATTTGGCGGAGATTGGTGTTGATATCACTCGCAGCAGAACCCAAAGCACCAGAAGAGATGGAATACAATGGTTTCTCAGCTGTCTCCGCGATCGCTTCGGCCGTGAAAGTCTTCCCTAATCCTGGCTGGCCTGAGAAGAGACCGATAAGACCTTGACCTTTTCCGGGGACGAAATCGTCGAATGGAGCGCGGGAGCTGTGGGATTGGATCAATTGACGCATGGAAGTTAGGACGGGAGCGGAGATGACGAGGGAGGAGAGCATGTCTTTTCTCCAGGTTATGTTGGAGACGTCTGATGTGGAGAAGGCCGCCCAGCGGGCATCGGTGAGACTGAAGCCAAAGAGGAGGCCGGAGAAGAGTGTTTTGTCTGTATCTCGTAGAGAGGACAGGATGGCTTCGAGTTCTTGCTCGCTGAGGGGTTGATTGCTGCTTTGGAGGTCGCCAGTGTGGAAGTTGAGGAATGGTGGTGGCGGCGGCGGAGGGAGGCTCAGGCTAGCGAATGGATCGAATATAAGGTCGGGATCCTCTTGAATAGGGCTTTGAATGTCTTCTGCATCGATGGCAGCTTTTCTTGGAAGTAGTTCGCTGCCTAGACGGGCCTATCGAGCGTTAGAGGCCGTCCAATATCAGTCACAGCCAGGATGTTGCGCCATACCGCTCTACCATCTGGGTTGACCATCGAGATTGCTTCATGGGAAAACTCGCGGAAGCGGGATATCTGAGGTATCAGTGGCGCTTGTTCCACAGCTCTGTACTTGACTGGATCAATCATGACACGTCCACGGAACTGCCGGCGAGGATCAGTCCAAACTCGTCAATGGTGCATCGCATACTCACATAAAAGCGCCGCGGTTCTTTCTGCTCCCAGGAGGTTGTGTCTGGGGTACCAAAAACCACGCCTTCGCCCTCATGCTCCTGGATCTTGCAAGAGGACCGCAAGAACGACAGCTGCTTGTCCGCTCTCGCCAGAAGTGCATTCCAGATCTGTTCACGTTGCGGCAGTAAGTGCAAAGGCCTGTAAGCAAGTGTACTGATCGACACACTGCCCTCATAGACCGGCATCGTCAGAATCGTAGAGACCAAGCCAACATTGTAGCCATCCGCCTCAGAATATTCCGCTTCGATTCTGAATTCTCGTTGGCCGTCTTGTTTACATTCGCTGGCAGCTTTGATGACACGCCATACACGTTCTTGCTCAAGGGGATCTTTGCCGTAGATGAGTGTGTTAGGCGCATATATGGCCCACAATTCATGATACGAGATCATCGTTGTGATCGAGAGCTGGCTAAGCTCTGCGAGTATGATGGGGTGATGTTGTGCGATGAATAGCAAACCAGCTTCGATCTCGAAGAGGCCGTCATCCCCAACATCTCGGCAGTGTGCTGCAACATTTTGGAGATCGTTCAGCGCCCAGAAGAACCATTCGGGCTTCAGCTGTGGGGGTATCAGAACCTTGGTTTCGAGAATACACTTCTAGAGACCTAACATACGGTACGCTTCCTGGCCGTCAGTGGGAATCCTGGACTATCGCGGAAAATGTTGATGAGAGTGCCCCGAAGAACAGGTCCATTCACATCGACTTCTGTGTGTGTCGGATTCATGTTCTTGTCGAAGACTCTGCGCACTAGTAATACGTGCGGCTGAAGCTGATCGTTGCTCTTCAATTCTAGCTTCGGTTCGACCAGCTTCCAGCACATGTCTTTCCTACGAATCGTAAGCTGCCATCGCCTTACCTGATTCGGAGGGCATACTTGTCCCAGCTAGAAGCCGTTAGTAGCGAGATCCAATCTCGATCTGGTGATGGGAGAACACTCACTATTCATCACGTTGGATGATCTGTTGTGGAGGCACGAGGATCAATTCGTCGACATTGATGTAGTCATTCTCGGAGGAATTGTCCTGAACACTGGCCTGCCCGGCCACGGTCTCATCGGTCGGCGTCATTTCGTCGTTGATCCTGAAGAACTCTGTGCACTGAAGGGATCTGCAACAGGAGCAGAGGATGAATGCAATGTGAATGACGAGGATACGGTGGTGGTACTTGTACCGTATAGCTCGAAAGCTCAGACATGCATAGTATCAGGCAGCTCTGGTAGCTGTACACCGGTTGTGCTGCACGGAACGACCAGTCAGATTGCACGCCCTGTCTATTGTGCATGCTGCCGGTCCAGTCAGCGTGGAACAAGCTGCGGTCCAAATTTCTGTGCGAGACGTGGGCAGCGCCGTGGGAGGCCGCCCACGACCAGATGCAGTGCGGCCATCTCGTGCTTGCCGAAGTGGGTCAGACTGAGTCGAGAGGTATGCTCCTCGAGGTTCATGCGCTTGGCATGGCACAAAAAAGACGAGAGATTGTGGTCACGATTCTGGAAGGAGGAGATTGGGCTTTGCATCGCTCCAGCAATGCCCGCGAGATTGATGCCCGTGCAATCTCACTCGCGCACGAAACTAACCACGAGTGCCATGGCTCATTCGTGATCGTTGCGAAGTCGCGCCATCGGCCCCAGCTTCCTTCCCCACGAGTCTTGCATCAATCTAAGCCACTCTTTTTCGCGATTGCAGCCTACGTCAACCGCGACCGCGTCCCAAAATGTAGTAGCAAACTTTATACGCAGATCCAGTGAGGCGATCGATTCAGCCGGCAGGCGGCTACCTAGAAGATAAGCGCCTCCGAAACTATCTGTGGCGATGCTGTTGAGGTAGATGATGCCGTCCACGGTTACACGTTCTCCGTGAGCGTGACCTAGCCATTCAAGGATGGTTATCCAAGCAGCAAGACCTTGCAAATCATCGCCTTCGCGGCTGGTCGTCCCTGTACCTGGAGTGTCGATTAGCCACACAGCAGTCTTCGAGGAATACTGGCAGCGGTAGAGCGCGATGTTGGGACTCTTTTCTGGCTGTTCGTTAGCTCAATATATCGCCATTTTACATCGCATGTACCTGATTCTGAACCATTCGCTCTGGCAGAACTGTGGCCTCCAGTAGGCGTGATGGCTGTCGACATTGTGCAAATATGCCAGACATACAGTAGCGTTCCGGTAGAACCTGTACATGGAGGTGATTGCTTCTTGCAGCTCTACAGCATTCGTCTTATCGATGCAGACACTATCGATCCAGATCCAGTCGACCCGAAAAGTGAGCATTCGCTGAACGATGAATTGACAGAAACCTATGATCTTCTCGAAGCTTGGGGTGTCGCGCTTTTCTCCGTTCACAAGTTGGCGAAGATCTACCTCTTCCCTGAGCCATCGGTGCGAAGCGATCGCGTAAGGCGGGACCTGGTCAGAAATAAATTCTTGCACTTGCAACGAGCGGACGTTCAGTAGGCGCATGGTGTTACTGCCAGCTGTACGAGGCGATAGGGGTGCCCCCAGTGGTGAAGTGCGGCTGATGAGGCGTTCCACAATGGTGGGGCAAACATGCTGCGTCTGCTAAGGGCTCATGCCGCCTGTCAGCAGATGGAGTGAGGCAAGCTCGTTCTCTGCCAGCTGTGACGTCTCATGCATAGGCTCTTGGCGTGTCGTGTAGGCCACGACTATCAGCTTTGTGAACGACATGTGCCATGCAAGCAAGGAACTGATTGCCATGCCATGCAGAGAGCCTCCTTGTTCACCATTCTGAGGTCCAGCCAAGATTTTGTCGTCGTCTCAACATCCCAGGCTTGAACTTCAGAGCACTATGTCTTGCATGGCCAGTGACGGTGAGAACCATGGAGTATGAAGGCCACTGGGTTTGTCCCAAACGTAGTCACCGTCGCCGCTGCGGTCCGCGAACCGTGCCGCGCCGCTCCGTCCTGCCAAGCCGAGCCACGGCTCGGCTTGGCTCATCTCATCTCCGAGGGCGCGCGGTCCTTCCTCCTCTACTCACAATAATGAATATTATCCAGCTCACGTGCATGTATTCCCGGCTCTGAGAGCGACACTTCGTGTCTAGATTGCGGAACGTCCCACACCTTAGGATGGACATGATTTCAAGATCGAGAGCAAGACCACAACGGCTTTTGATTGGAAGCTTTGAGCCTCAACAGTAATTATTCAGCACGCGTTTCATTCAGAAATATCTGCACGGCAGCTCTATGGGATCCAAAATGGAGTCATATCTCAGGGCGAGCCATCGTTATGGTTCACCGGGCAACCAAAGTTCGATGCGAAAGGAGCCAATCTGTCCGTGATCTGGTTCAAGACACTGATTGGCAAATTGATAGCCTCACCAAAGGTCGCTGGGAAACCTGAGGCGATGGCTTGGTAGATCAAGCAAGCTGCTGCACCAGGGGCCGTGTTTACAAGAGTCCCGTTCCGAATCGCCTCTCCCGAGTTGAGTCCATTGAAGTTATTTGGGCCAATGTTACCGCCAAAGAGGACAGGCTGTATTACCGGTCAGTCACGACACTCAACTTCAGAAACCTGAAACAACTCACATTGAGGAGATACATCTGGAGGATCTCGCTGGTGACCTCGCTATCGTAGGATTCGACTCTTGGGCGCCAGTTCGGCGGCACGCGCTCGCCACTGTTCTGGACGTAATTTCCATTGGCATCTTTCGAGATGGCGAAGAAGGACATCATGGTCTGCACTGTCGTCAGCGGGAGCCACAAGATCGGCGAAGCTGTCTCACTTACCGCCTCATCTGGAGAACCACCCTCGCCCGGGAACAGCTCGTACAGGAAGGTTGCAGCTCCATAGAGGAGCAGACTGCCTGGGCCGCTGCGAAATGTCAGCGGACACGATATCGCAAGCATGAATTAGGACCTGGACTTACAAGAAGAAGTTGCCATTCTCCCTCATGCTCTGCTGCCAGCGCTGCTCACGATAGATGGACAGCTCTTCTCGGCCACAGTTGCCTTGGCAGGTGTCCATCATGAAACCGAAGAGCTATCGGGATTTGTCAGTATATACTGCTGATTCTTGCGCCGTGGTATACGAACCGTAGTGTTGACTCTGAAGTTGTCGTTGCCTGGTCCGGTGAAGAAGTCATTTCTGTAAGGTTATCAGCGCGAATGTCCTTTGAGTCGGATGCCAAGATTTCATAGCGTACCGGGTGAGACTGGAGTCTGCCTCGAATTTGTTGTGCCCATTCAATCCAGGCTGGCTAGCAAGAAGACTCAAAGGAGAGCGAGTGCGAGATGTCGCATCACATCCGAGGGAAACTTTGTTGCTGATCAAATCTCCATCCTGGTCGTAGCATCAGCATAGCCTTCCGACATCTCAAAACCAGTCAACTTACAAGTCCGACACCTGCAATGGCGAGGATGTTGGCAAGTGTGAAGCCGACATTGTACATATTCTGCTGAGCGTCCACGAGCTCGGCGTCTGGAGGCACAATTAGCAACTTCGGACGGCAAGACAAGTCCGCGCATCATACAGGTAACTATGCCGTCTCTTGCGAGGAATCCATGATTGGCTGCGGCGTTCAACTGAATGACAGTCAGTCAAAGATTGTTCTCCAAAGCATCTGGACGTGGTTCTACCAACTTACACCAGGACAAGGGCCACGAATGTCGATACCAGGGCGAGGAGCGCGGAACTCGTGCGCTGTATCGCCAGGCGCGGGCACAGGATAGCCACCTCGCTGGTTGCCTCGTGCGGGAAAGCGGGCATTATTGTAGGGAAATTGGGCTGTCAGTGGAGCGGCCGGCTCGTGATTGGGGTTGAACGGGCAGTTTGGATCATCCCTTCGATAAGCACCACTCTTGAGGATGGAAGAGTCAACGCCGGGAGCACTTGCTACCCATGGGTAAGCAAGGACGCCTTGGATGGCGACGAGCGGAAGAACTGCGAGAGCTTTCAACGACATTCTGAGGCTTGGATATGTGGCGACGATGCCTTCACACTCTGGCAGGCTGGTCGCAGCAATTTATATCGCAGCTGCCGGACCAGCGATATCCTGATGCCTGCCATCTTTGTATGGCAAGATACATCGTGCCTCGGGATTATATTGTCGTGCACTGGATTGGCTGGCGAGTCGCGTTGCCAAAAGCATGAAGTCGACCACGCGCAGCGCTAATATCCAAAATGGGCGCTGTCAGTCTGCTAAGGCTTTTGGGAGTATCTTGGACGTAGCCCTGAGGTCGAAAGTTGACATGTCTAGCCGGTCTGTGAGGCTAAGGGTCAGCTGGCTCCTGCACGAGCTGCGCGTCGATCGCGGAAAGCTTATACATCGCGGTGATTGAAATGATAGCTACGAGTTGTCGAGCACTTGGGCCGAGGAAGTACGGTCGCACTCTCTGCAAGTTCGAAGTCAAGAAGAGGGCTATTTTGAAATCGCATGCACACTCTGTTGTCCGCCCAGTAATCAGAGCCGACACAGCCCACGACACGCTTGCCCTTCTCGCGCGGCATGCAAATGACCTACCTAATTCGGTAAGTGTTGCGACCAGTACTTGGCGACAGACTCATCTTGTCGAAGGGAGAGAAGGACACGATGACCATCACTGCTGCCCTGGGAATTGGCTTGGTTCTTATTGCATCGCTGCGACCAGATACAGTGTTCTCGAAGCACAATGCACACGTGTGAGCCACGTTTCCCGAGCGGCGTTTGCCTGATTGCTCACAGGGTGAATCGCAGCTAGTCTGGCATTGGTCGTGGCCAAGACCGGCTATCGAAGCCACGCGGCCGCGGCGCTGGTCTCCATGCTTATTCAGTCTGCACGCCTTCAGTAACTGTTGCGACCAAGCTGCAGATGGCACGTTGCGCTTACTACTGAGGTGCATAGGACGGACTGGTCACCAGACGTCGATGGGCGACGAAATGCGATGCGGCACGTGGGGACTGGAATATGCTGGACAGCTGTTGTAACCAAGAACGATTAGGCCATGGCAGGAAATGTCACGCGAACAACATCAATTTGAAGTCTATTCAACAACCAAAGCCAAGTCCACCCATCACAGCATAACTGGCAAACAACCGAGGCAGTATACCAGCAGCCTGGTGTCACCCATTCGTAACTCGTTACCATTGCAGCTTCTTGTCCCTCATGATCACTCATACCCGGTCGATCTCGGAACAACCTTGCAAGCTTGGTCGTTCTGGTGCTTACTCTTCGTCTCCGTGGGCCTCGCGCTTCTCCTCCTCGGCACTGACGCCGTAGACGGGGTAGAACTGCGCATCACGCTTCTCCTCTTCGCCGT